AATGACTGCAACAGTACATTGACTAGGAGCTGCCAGAGGTTCAAGACGGATTCAGACAAGGTCATGGAACAAAGGATATCATTGCTAATGTCAGATGGCTCGTGGCTGAAAGTAGAGAATACCAGAAAGAGTTTTAGGTGTGCTTTAATGAATACACAAAGACTTTCAATTGTGTAACAAGCTATGGACAAAAATTTGGAGAATTAGTACTTCAGAACACTTAACTGTGCTCATGAGGAACCTGTTTATAGAGCAAGATGAAATCATTCAAAAAGAACCAGGGGAGGCTAAATGGCTTAAAATCAAGAAAGGTGTACATCAAGGTTGTATTCTTTCACCATACTCATTCAAACTGCATGCTGAGCAAATAACCTGAGAAAGCTGGATTCTATGAAGAAAGTGGCATCAGGATTAGAGGAAGACTCATTAACAACCTGCAATATGCAGATGATAAAATCTTGCTTGCTGAAAGCAAAGAGAACTTAAAATACTTACTGGTGGTGGTGACTGTGTGCTGTGGAGTCGGTTCCGACTCATAGCGACCCTGTACAGGGTTTACAAGGTTGTAAATCTTTACAGGAGCAGAACGCCTCATCTTTCTCCCACGGAACAGCTGGTAGCTTCAAACTGCTAACCTTGAGGTTCCAGCCCGATTCGTAACCACTATGCTACCAGATAATACCACAGTTTTTTGGTATGGATTGCACCTCAATATAAAGAAAACAAAAATCTTCACAAGTAGACCAAAATTAACATCATGAAAAATGGAAAAAATTTTGAAGTTGTCAAATAATTCATTTTGTTTGAATCCACCACCAACACTCGTGGAAGCAGCAGTCAAGAAATCAAATGACATATTGCATTAGGCAAATCTGCTGTACAAGACTTCTTTAAAGTGTTCAAGACCTCAAAGGTGTCAGTTTGAGGAATAAGGTACATCTGACCAAAACTATGATATTTTCAATAACTTAATATGCCTGTGAATGTTGGATTATGAATACAGAAGACAGTAGAAGAACTGATGCATTGAGTTATGGTATATTGGAGGAGAATTTTAAAAGTACCAATTATTACCAGAAAAACAAGCCAATCTATGTTGTAAGAAGTACAGTCAGTTTCAGAATGTGCCCTTTGGTTGTTTAAATGATTATATATTCCTCAGTGTTTCTGTGTGCATTCCCCCCACACACCACCACCCACCCCCCCGAAAAAAAAGGGAATGGAAGCAAATACTGCTGAATGATAATACATGGAAGGTATTGTAATTATTGTAATGAAATGATGTAAAACCGATGTTCTCCCATATAAACTATCGCTCAATTCACAATAAAAACTTTTTTAAAAAAAAAAAAGAAGTACAGCCAGAATGCTCCTTGCTCCTTAGAAGCCAGGATGGTCAGACTTCGTCTCTCATACTGTGGACATATTATCAGGCGGGACCAATCCATGGAAAAGGACAAGTTGCTTGTTAAAGTATATGGTGGGCGAAAAAGAGGGAGACATCCAACAAGATTCATTGGCACAGTGACAGCAGCAACGGGCTCAGGCGTGACAATGATTGTGAGGTTGTCACAGGACTGGGCGGTGTTTTGTTGTGTTGTGCATATGGTTTTTATGAGTTGGAGCCAACTGCACAGTGTTTAACAACAGCAATCTAGTCTCCTTTCCTTATTAATAATAGAAGGTAGCTAAAACTTTGGCAACCCTGATAGGTAGACAACTTTCTTCCCCTGTAGTAACACACACACACACACACACACACACTCATTTTTCATTTTTCTTCCAGAATGAATTGAAGAATGAATGCTCAAGAGATTCAGCTAAGGCAGGTATCATGAAAATGCTTTCTAACCAGTAGATGACTAGTCTGGTTGTCTTTAAGCGTGAAATGTCTCTTTGGGCTGTAAACTAAAAAATCTTGACCACTTGCCTCAAATTATTTTATTATTCCCGGGCACCCTGCTTATTTGGAATGTACTGATAAAGATGTAATGTTGTAGGAAATTGTGATTTAAAAACAAAACACACACACACAAAAATTCTTACTTCATGGTTTTGTTACCTCTACCATAAATTCCATATGGAATTTTTCGGCCATATAGTTGTTGTTTTTTTTTTGGAAATGTCAATACACCAGATAATTTCTAATAATTTTGTTTAAAAACAAGACTAAAAATTGGATATTTTTCACATAACACAACTAACCCAAATGCCTGCAGCATTATACCTGCTTCATGTGCACATAACTAAATTCAGAACAGCAAGAACTGCAAGACCTAGAGATCTGACGAACCTCTGTGGCATTGGACAAGGCACTAACTTCTCTGATTGTTATTTTTTGTACCTTAACATTCTGAAGATAATATGGACTTGTTTTGTAAGATGATGGCTATTATGAGAATTACTACAGCTACGATTGCTGTTGTCATGTGCCAATGAGTCGGTTCCAACCCGTAGCAATCCTGTATAGGCTTTCTATGGAGCAACTGGTGAGCTTTAACTGCAGGCCTTGTGGTTCAAACCAACTTTGCAGTCTAGCACATTAACCCACAGTGCCTTGTATGTTGTTGTTGTTAAGTGCTGCCAAGTCAGTTCTGATTTATAGTGGCTCCGGGGGAGTTGCTGGAGAGTTTGAATGGCTGGTCTTGCAGTTCAGTGCTAATCCTATAGAGCCACATTGAGCACTTGTCCTGTGCTTGGCATTGCTCTAAGGGCTTTACATAGATTAATTCATTTAATGGTCACAGCCACCTTGTAAGGAGGGTACGACTGTCTTATGATTTTATACATGAAGAAATTAAGGCTCAGAGAAGTTATATGTTATGGATTGAATTGTGTCACCCAAAATTATGTATGTAAAGTTTATATACTAACTTTATATACCTGTGGAATTTATCCCATTTGGGAATAAGGTTTGTTTGTTATGTTAATGAAGTCATATCAACGTAGGGTTTGTCTTAAACCTAATGACATTTGAGATATATAAAGAGCAGATTAGACACAGAAAGAAGCTAGCAAAAATGTGTGAAGAGAGATGCCATGTGGACATCTACAAGCAATCCAGGTGTGCCAAGGAAAGAAGCTGAGACAAGGATTTTCCTGAGCGCTGATAGAAACAAACCATAGATTTTCCTCTAGATCTGGTGCTATACTCTGAATTCAGACTACTGTCCTCTTAAACTGAGACAATAAATTTCTCTTCTGTAAACCAGTCACTTATGGCATTTCTGGTAGAGTAGCAAGTTCAGCAGTTCAAAACTACCAGCTGTTCTGCAGGAGAAAGATGAGGCTTTCTGAAGATGAAGGCTTTCTGAACATTTACAGCCTCAGAAACCCTGTACAGGGTCACTATAAGTTGGAACCGACTCTACAGCACATAACCACCACCACCAGCACTAAGAAACTAAAACATTGAGTACTTTGTCTAAATCACAGTGGTAACCTGCCAAGTGTTCTTAACCTTTAGACTAGATTTTAATAAGTTACTGTGCTTTGTTAAATACCTACAAAGCTCTATCATGATTAAGGTGCAGTTGTTATTAAGAGAAATCACATATATTGATTTTTCTTATTTTGATTGCTCCAGTTAACCATATATCAATATGTATAATTATACTAGTTAATAGAACATGGAAATCTAAGCAGTTAAAATTGATTGATAACAAAATAATAGTAGAACATAGTTAAAAAGTGCAGCCCTCCCTACACTTATGGATACAGTAGCTCAAAAGAGGGAACAAATCTTTACAGTGAGTATCGTTCCCACCCCCTCAGTACACAGGGTAGGCAGGGATGGGCAACTTGGACATTGGCTACCCAAAATGCGGGGGAGCTACAAAGGCAAGAAGTGACTGGCTTACAAGCTTTCAAGAGGGAGCCTAGATCCAGAGGGCATGGAGGAAGGTAGAATCTCCACTGAGTAGTATC